TCTGCTCAGGGACAAGATCGGCGTGCACAAGTTCTTGAGCATTACGCAGGAGCAGCAAGTGTCTCCATCCGTCTCTAATAATCCAAAAATACTCATCAAAGAGAGTCCCTGGCATCCAGATCTAGATGCCAAGGATGCACAAGATAAAGAACACATACCGCTCTTCAGTCGCGGTTGGGCATATCAAGAGCGTATTCTAGCTCCTAAGGTCTTGCATTTCGGTCCACAAGAGCTCTTTTGGGAATGCAATAACGGTGCCAGCTGTGAGTGCGGAAAGCTAAAGGCATCGCCGAAAGCGGCACACCAGCGGGCGCTCCAGTCTTCTTTGAACTCGGTATTGAGCTACAGATGGCGAGACATTGTGAGCGAATACACCTCCAGGGAGCTAACATATACTTCTGACAAGCTGCCGGCAATCGCCGGTGTCGCCAAGCAGTTCATGGGTCGAATGGAAGTACCAAATTATCTTGCTGGGCTTTGGGGACAATCTTTAGTTGAGGATATGATGTGGAGAGTTGATTCACCTAGTGTGTGGACAAATGAATGGCGAGCGCCTTCATGGTCATGGGCATCTGCACTGGGAAGCGTTATATACCACCAGGACGACAAAAGTACCCAAACAGAGCCGGACTCCGCTTTGGTCCAGATATTGGAAGCGTCCTGTATCAGCGATGGGCCTGATAATTTTGTTGGTTGCATAGGTGGTCATATTGTCCTTCGCGGACACGTTGCCGCGGTTCAGCTTCAGAACTTCGTAACCAAAGATCAACGTGGCGGGACAATCACGGAAAAAGACAACTTCGGGATCACGAATTTGAGCGGCAGAAACTTCTACAACGTTTTTCTGGACTTCTTGCCCAAGCCAGACGGTAGCTGGAAATCAAAAGAGCCTATTTGGCCGTCTCCTCCTTTGAACTGGAATCGAGCCAACCTGCGGGATCGAAATGCTCCAGCAAACAACGATACGGCTGTGCTAGAGTATCAACACTCAGAGTTGCGACTCTTCCAGCAACACTTTATTCGTTATCTTGAACGGGAGGACGACGCATGGTGTCTCCTGCTAAGTATGCAGAAAAATAGGACGTGTTTCCTTGTCCTCAGCCGCACTGCATCCCAAACATTTCAGAGGCTTGGATTTGGATGGTATGGGCCGATGAAACCGCCATTGTTTGATATTAATGAAAATAAACAAACAATTAAACTTATTTAGATAATTAAGGACGATATATTAAAGACCAAGTATTCCTATAAGGTCATGATGGATCTTCCCATGGCCTTTGTTACGTGCTGCCTAACACATACACAACTATTGCACATTTAACACTCTTAGAGTGGCTTCTCATGAATACAATAGCCCCCAAACCATGTCTAGAGTTCTTTCCCCAAAATATTGTCTTCCAGTTTACGACCTCACCAAAAGCAGATATTGAGGGACCACCTAGCCACGCTTTTACTCTGTTGCGTGGTGGAAATGAATTGCGGCAAGTGAAAGTACTGTATTCAAGGTCATATGTATGTCCATAATTGTCACGATACCTGATGCTTCCACTTAGAGTTCTGCACCTAGAGTTCCGCTCAACTATATATCTGCTCTCCTTCAACAAAATTTCTCCTTTCTCTTAGCTTTTGTCAACATAACCCTAAAACATCTTATAAACATCTATCTCTGTCATCTTAGGTTTGAGTATCTCAGCACAGGTTATAATGCGCCAGACCTCTACCATCGGATCGCAATCCGGCAAGTCCAACAACCCTTGTGGACCGATAGATATCCCGCCTAAGATACAATTAATGATCTACGGCGAACGCTCGGTTCTTGACCAATATCTCGAATATATCATTCAAGTAAAGCTCTCCATAGTCATAGGAAATTCCTCGATGGCTCTAAAGAAGGACCGGCTTTTGAGCCTGTCGCAATACAACCGCAACCCTTTGCTCTAGGATTGACTTGTAAGGGACTGGCTCCTCTCACGGTATTTAAACTACACTTCCTGAATAGACCAATTCACAAAGAAGAGACAGCCTTTGTCTACTCAAAGAACAAAGTAATCAACTACATATACTACGGCAAGTACAGAAGCGGCTGCAATTCGGACCGGAAGACCTACAAGCTGAAAGACAAATAGGCCAGACAAACCATCACAAGATGCAACTAAATGAGCATCTCTTGGTAACCAGTGCCGGATCGCCTTTGGCCTAGAAACGCTAATGATTAACGCTATCGAAGGTGGGAATAAGAATTGATTTTGGAAGCAACCTTGGTTTATTGAGCTTGAGCTGCTAGCTGCCACTGCACATGAAAATTTTACAGAGTATGTATTCTAACAGAAAGCTTGCTTATACGGAGAAATGTGAGGCTGTAGGTATCAAATACAGTCTTGTATAATTACTATAAATGACAGACGCACCCTTTTCCTATAAATATGTAGTAAAGAAGTGAGAGCTAAGGAGCAAAATGAATCCTGAATTGAACAGCGGTCTAGAGAGGTGTCGTGAGTAAATCAAGTGATCTCCTATAAGGACTCGAGTAATATTATTGAGGTCTTGCGGTCTCAAGTCATGTGCCACAAGCATGTGAACGCGTGTCACGCGACTTAAGGCTTTTTCTAATGCTGTGTGATAATATAGTTCGGAGCAATGACCAGATAGGCAAACTACAGAAGCAGGGATGCCTATAGGTTGTTTAAGGGGACGAAGAATGGGAAGTCAAAATGAGGAAGAAACGTGCAATGGCAAGCGCATAATACACGTGATCGCCAGATCATTCATTCAGCCACGAGCGGAACGCCTATATGGCAAGGATATGGGCCAACTTGACGGCTTACAAGATCACTAGATTGGCCCTGGAGGGGTGCTGCTTGTCGCCTATGTTGATTTTTAGAAGGTGAGGTCCAGGCGCAGGGTTTGTTATTAGACGCGCTGCGCCTACACGAAGTAATTTTAAGCGCTGACACCACAAATAGAATGGTAAATTTCCAACTACGAACCTCTAGTCATCTTAAATTTATGTCAAGCCTTACTCTCCACGGGCTTCACGTTATTTGGGCTTCTTATCAGGCATTCTATGTCATGGAGTGGGGTTCTTTCCCTGACGGACTGATGGCACTGTTGGTGATTGAGAAAGTTGAGAGGGAAAACCTGACGCCGGGTTTCCCAACATGAGGATGGAGGCTGGGGTTTAAAGAGCCTAGCTCTGTTGGATTTCAACACGGATATCTTCTAGACCGAATATTTCATGGGTTCAGGTCACGAAGTGTTGCCTTCTCGCAACAATCTGAATTATTTGACTGGCTTCCAAGCGTGGGTCACGTTAGGTCTGACCATGATGTCTGGAAAGATGAGGCTGAGGTGATCTGTCTCCACAGCCCTGGCGCAGCAATACCTCAATAAGCCATGCTTGCTTTACGACAAGTTTTAATTTTCCAGAATAGTTTGCAGGCTACAGCTCATTTCTGGCAAACCTGCTATGTTTGTATATAATCTCCATCACCGCTCCCGTTAGTTTCAGTTCATCCCATCATCTTCTCAACATTTCATCAACAAGCATCCTTTCCTTATTTCCTTTGTGGTTTCCTATCCCATAATCGTTTCTATTTCAAGACTTGCAATTCGTTTTGTTTCTTTATCAAATAATTCGTCAATTCTTCAAAATGCGTGCCTCTAATTCATTGGTTGCTCTTTTATCGCTACTAGTCAGCAGTGCTCTGGCCCTTCCGGCAATCCCAAGGAGTGTCGAAAGCGATAAATCCACAGCCGGGGCCATTGCAGACATTGGAAATTACCCATCACCTACTGAAGGCTCAGCTTCAACCACATCAACTTCCCAAGCCTCCCAAAGCACTTCTCCATCAGGAACGTCCACCCCGCCTCCCAATAACGAATCCGGCAGCTCTCTTCCTCCATCTTCTACCGGACTAACCCTCTTCCAACAACTCACCCTTGCACCTAACGCCGTCTCCCGTCTCGCACTTCTCAAAGATGAGGATTTTGTCTTCAAATTCGATAACCCTCTCCAGAAAACCGGTGTTGCATCCGGTGAAGGTGGTTCCATCGTTCGAGCCGACCATGCCACCTTCCCCGCTCTCGTCTCTCAAGGCGGTGCCCTCGCAATCGGCTTCCTCGGTCCTTGCGGTTTCAACACTCCACACGTGCACCCTCGCGCAGCAGAGCTGAATCTCGTTATCGAAGGCCATCTCTTTGCCAATGTGGTCGCTGAGAACGGGGCAAGGTTCATGAACCATACCTTAAGCAAATATGAGATGACGGTCTTTCCTCAGGGCGCGGTGCATACGGAGTTCAACCCCGACTGTACACCATCTGTGTTTGTGGCTGCGTTCCCTCATGAAGATCCGGGCGTAGGACAGATTGCACAGGAGTACTTCGGGTTGGAGAACGAGATTGTAAAGGGCAGTGCTGGAGGAGAAGTTTCCATTGATGGAGCGGATATTGAGAAGTTTCGCGCGAAGATTCCGGCTAATGTTGCGAAGGGTGTGGATAGCTGCCTACAAAGATGTGGCATCGCGAAGCGATAATTGGAGAGACTGTACTTCTAGTTCTTGAATTTTTTTTGGAAGGCATTTAGCGGCATAGCGTTGGCGTTTGTCATATTTGGAAGGATTATTAGAAGACGACACTGTTCAGAAACTTTGGAGTAATATGTACCATAGATGTCAAGACCAGCTGAATCTATAATCATAATAATGAATACCAGACAATATCTACTATAGGCATATCCATTTAAAACTTATCATGGGACTTGACCATCTGTGTAACAAGTCGTTACACCGCTCTTGGTCCCACCAATCATATTCCCCCTTAGAGGACACCTCATTCTCTCTCTAAAAGAAGCATGCTTTGCGACGTAATATGTTGTTCGCTCACCCGAGAAATTTTTGCATATGTGGGTCATCCGGCTCAGCCACTCTGCGCTCCACATCGCATACTTACCAATATATTGTTAAATAGCCCCAATTTGAAGCCAAAATTTGAACCAATGAAATGGTTGATTAGTGTAGCGGTTAGCACGAGAGATTCTGATTCTCTAGTCCTGGGTTCGAACCCCAGATCGACCTTAAACCTTTTCCCCCCTTTTTGTATCTAACCAACGGGTTTGCATCAGGAAGCGGATTCGTGTGTGTTTTCGGATTTATGTTTTTTTTGTAGTTCAAGATAAGCGTCGCCTAAACACTTTAACCAACTTCACCTTAACAATCTCGGTCAATTGATTTCCTATTTGATTTTCATCGCCAAGCCGTTGCTTCTAATCTCCCCTATTGTTGGTTCGTCCTCGCACCGCGAAACATCTTCGTTGTGAAATCAAACACTTTTTGAACTCAACTTTAGAACGTCAAATCCAGAGTTAAAGAACATAGTCATGAAGTCCAAATCCTTTGCTTCCCCGTCTCGGTTCTTTACTTGTTATGGTCCCTCTTCTTTCTGTAGCTTCACCCCGCCTTTGCGTCATCTCTTCAAGAAAACTAATACTTTTACTTCGCCTTGGACTTGCTACTTAGGCTCAAAAGCCTCATTCACCTCTACAGCCGCAATGTTTGGTGAGTGGGAACGTGATGTTAATTGGAAGCTTCGGAAGCTTCACGACCCAACATGGGGCTACACCATTTTCCGCACCGTGTACACACCCGCCTCCGACACGCAATTCCCATTATGTCTCCGCAAATTAGACTCATGGATCAAACACGAGATCTACGAGGAATTCAATCGCCCATCCAGGTGGCCTCGCAACGCCACAGACCCGGTGTTGAGAATCGAGTCCAACGATGAAATGTATAGCAGGTATAAGAATGAGGTAGTTGAGAATCGCGAGAGGCTAGATGGGGCCGATGTTGAGGTGTGAGACGAGAGTTCAAGGCTCGACTCAAGGAACGTGGTGTGAATGTTGAGACAGGATATGCATATACGCCGTATCGAGCTTGTGTTATGGTCGATGAGGAGGTGTTGCAAAATATAATGAGTGCGCCGGATGAACCTACCCCGGAATATGGTAGTCAGAAGGCGTGGGTGAAATTGGTAGAATTTGCGGGCAATGATGAGGGTGACGAAGATGACTATGAGAAGGGTGAGGGTGAGGCCGTGGTTGATGGGGTGCTTTACACTTGGGAAGGTTGGTTGAAAGTTGATATGAGGCATTTATATGACGCTTGGTTTAATATTACCTCTGGCGGGGAGGTGGCACATTTGTGGCAAGAAGCTATGGAGGAAAATAATGGTGTTTATCGAGAATGATTCGAAATTTCGGGCGAGTAGCTAAATTATTGGCGTCTTCTAAGCAACCGTAATTCCATCTGTTGAAACTTTGCATATTACCTATGTTAATTTTAATGACTAGATTTCCGTTCTTCCCTTTCCCAAGCTAGTTCTTGTTTTGGGATTTGGAGTGCAGTGTCATAGCAACGCTCATCGCAACAATCCCCTACTATGCCACTACCCTCATATAGTCATATCTACATTATTTTTCCATGTTATCGCCTAGTCCATCTTCCTTCATGGCCTGTGTATATTTCCGGACTTGGGGGTTTCACCAAATTCGGATGTCAATCCTGGAGTGGCTAATTCGGCATTTATGGACGACTCTTTTGCTCTAGCGAATGAGCACCCTGCAGGTCCTTATAATTTTGCGCTAGAATCGTAGTTGGAAGTTGCTAAATTTTCGGTTCAGGGTTAGGTCTACTTAAATAACCAAATGCAAGATTGTAATTTCAGGAACTATTAATAGAGATTCCAAATGATAGAAAAACTTAGAGGCTATTTATATAAGTATTACAGGAACTATTTATTTAAAAGAAGTATGTAACAAAGGTATAAATACCTGGTAATCGAGTATATGACACAGCCCCATCATCAACACAAACAGCTTCTTCGAAAGATCGCTTACCTCAAAGTCAAGTTTTCACTTGATCATTAAATGCAAAGAGACAGAGCTTGACATCAAATGATCCTCAAGAATTAATCAAACAAGCTCTTGCAGCTATCTCTATAGCTAATAAGGCTAGGCTCGGCCAACTGTACTTCAATAAACTTGAGTTTGCCAATTCTTCTATTCTGAGGAAAGGTGCTTCAAAAGCACCACTTCTTGACTACACGCCATCACCCGCAAAAAATGGGACAACAAGGCGTGCCTTAAATTCCACCTCGGAAGACGACGCCGGAAAGTCATATTCAATTCCTCCTGAGCTAGTCGAAGGAGCTCGCTTATTAGCCGAATCGACATCCCAGGGAACTTTGGGAGGACAGCTGGAAGTCGCTGCACAAATAAGAAAGAAATATGATTTGAAGGTTAATGATAATAACCCACCCCACAATATCTTATTCACCCCAACGGACTGCTTGGGTATGAGCCTTTCGCAATCCAAGAAGTGATAAGCAATGAGACAGCGAACCATTTGCTGCAGCGGGCGCCTTCTGGATCGTCGTATTGGATGGCGAACTTACAACGGCTAGGCTCATTCCTTTTGCCCCACATGGGAACCCCAGATTGACCTTATATTTTTAGGGGGGGTTTTCTGGACAATAGTTTTTCTTTAGAAGAGAGTGAAGTCGTGTACTTAGATATGTGGATTTTTGTAGTTAAGCATAAATATGTGGAAGGAATGTTTTAGTCAGACGAATATTTTATTGAGAACCTCTATGTGCCATTCGCTCTTTTCGCTTTTAGAAGATACAACTTAGTTCTTTTCACGTGATTATCAAAATTTCCCCCTTTTACCTTCTAACTTAATGGTTGTGTAATAGGACACCTGGCCGGCAAGTTATTTTATAAGCATGGCTCCTCATTTCTTTGCATACAAAGAGCCTGCCGAGGACTCATCTCGCTCAGCATTAATCCCAGAATTTCAGGGGTTAGCCGTGTTTCTGCGCTTACCCATCAGCCGAAATCATATGGCAATGACGTATAATCCCGAGGTGCCATCGAGTGTGTAGCCTTATGGGTAGGAGTTGTAGTAGTAGGCCTTGCACTACTGGTTGAGGTCACCACAGAGTCGACGCGGGAGACCTGCCCGATTGCGAAGCTTTGATGTTATTGAAGAGAACTGGGTCCAAATTGCGAAACTCAAGTGTCTAGTTTCAGCTGTGACAAGGAAAAAAAAGAGATTGGTGAAAAGGTATCTCTCGTTCCAGAATGATTTATTTCTGCTGATCTAAGCCTTTCATGTACAGATGTTCTTGATTCGATTCCAACCATATGAATACTCGAACTGCCGCCGTTGACTATTTCTTATTGTCGTGCTTCTATTTTGAAGCTACATGTGCAAGTTAAGATAGAATATCTTAACATCTTAAGGAGCACACCAGAGCTTACTTGAACCTTGTAAATATTGTTTACTATTGTCTACTGAGTAGGGGACACTAGACAAATTGTATCCACTTATATATTAAGTCTATTGAACAGTAAATATTAGCCTTAGGTTCATTTATTAGCCAGCACCTGCTGAGCCTCACTAATCCCAAGGAAGTCCCTCTCCATGTTTAATAAAATACCTTTGATGAGAATTATGTATAGGTAACGCCTCAAAAACTTTCAAGTTCTGCAAACGTGGGTCATGTAGAAGAATTTTAATACCCCCAAACACCTCTCCATCCACTCCTGTATGCCTTAACCACATTTTGTTTGCTCAGCTCATCAGACCCTATCACTACTTCAAGAGCGAGTAATCTCCTCGCAATGCCGATGCTAGATAGGAAAGTAGGGGAATTGAGAGCAGCTTGAAGAGCATTGCCATAATATCCACCTTGTTTATTAAATATCAGCACCATGCTCCAGGAGTACTTTTACTGTCTTCCCGTTGCCCCAATATGTTGCAGCTTGCAAAGCAGTCCCATAGTATCCACCTAGTTGGTTGACGTTAGCACCGTGCTTCAGTAAAATTTCCACTGTTTTGTACAGAGTCCTTGTAAAATGCAACTTGTAAAGAAGCTCCAGAGCCCCCGCCATCCTGATTTATATTAGCACCATGCTGTAGCAACAGCTCAACTACCTTTGAGTTTCCACTGTATGATGCCGCATTTAAAGCAGTCCTATAGTGCCCGGCCTTCAAATTAATTGTGGTGCCATAGGAAATCAAGCATTCTACAATGCTTTTAAATCCATAACGCAGTACACGGCGCCCAACTCAAACGTGGGTCTTCTGCATGGAACGCTTCATCGATGTCAGCCCCATTCTCCAAAAGCCACATTACGACGTTCAAGGCATCATATTTAGAGGCGTAGAGCAAAGGGGCAGGAATGCGGCGAGATAGTGTCTCTACAGATAGGTGTCCGTTAAACATGGTTCTGATGTACAAATTTAGCAAACTTATTGAATTTCTCTCGGAAATCTTTGTCATCAAATATAAAAGTTGAGGAGGCCAACATAACGAGTGAAGCCGTTCAACATGTTTCGCCCAGGAAGATATAACGTAATCCCAAAGCTCGAACCGCCTAAATAGCTCTATGTTAACAGGCTCGGATTTACTTAGATGTAGATGATAGGTGATACAAGACATTGATATGTGAGCGTGAGCTTCTTCATGGGTGAGCCCAAAGAATTTAGCCGGCCCTTGCGATATTCGGCTAGAAAGGAGGTATTCCTGGACTGAAAAGTGTCCAAATAGTATCATGTCATTCCCAAGGGATCCGGGTTTTCGAATAAGAAAGCTTGGCAGGAACACAAGAATATTTTCTGCTTTAAAAAGTCTGCTCTGTTCGTTAAACGGGATCTCCTTGGTAGGATCTAATATAAATATCTCCGCAATTTCTGCTATCGTAAGAGGACGTATTGACCCTACAAGCCAGATCAAAACTGATCTAGCTTGAGCCTGTCGGCTGGGATCCATGCCGCTGAGCATTCGGTCGTAGGTTGCATCGAGCCCTATAGGCAGATTTTTGATTGCGTCACTTAGTTCCACGGCTGACCGAAGTGACCGAAGAGCATCGAGCTGACAGGATACATATTGGAACCTTCTTAGCTTAGTATTTAGGATTACCACTAATATCAATTCTCGTAGACTCACATTCCGTCTGCTTTCCGAATCAGTGCTGCTTTTGCTTCATCCTTAGAACTAAGCGGCCAGGTGC